CTTCTGCCGAGATCCATGGGGGCACTGTTTCAATTCTCAAGAGCTTAATCAAATTCGTTACTGCTAATGTTTGGATCCGCCTGTTATCATAGCAAGCAACGTCGATTACCCTTTTCTAAAACGAGAAATCAAGTCTTGGATTAATCCAGGACTTCATACTGACGAACTTCAGAGAAGCGGTGAAAGACCGAGTACCACTCAGGGCAAGTAAAATATAATTTCTTACTAGTGGCGAATGATCCGATAGTTGGAAAGGCCTTTAGCACGTCTTGCTGGGTTGGCTTTTCCAAACCATCATACATGTCCAGAACCTGTTTTCCAAGACCTTTCATTGCATCCAGAATGTTCATTATGCCGTCTTGACTAAAAGCTGCCAAAAATTTCCGAAGAACCTGTAAAAAAAGACTCGCAAAGACCTAAATTATTAAGATTAAAAAAATTGAAATCACTAGCCAAAACTTTTCGAAATTTGATAGGCATTTTTACAAATCTTTTTGGATTAGAAATTTATGCAAAATTTCGAAAAAAATTAAGTCACTGAATCGGAAAACCACGAAGTCTCATAAGTTTTGCGATTTGGAAAGAAATTTTTTCGAATATTTAAAAAATCGAAAAAAGAGACCTGTTCAATAAAAACTCGACTTTCCGGTTGCATCGTATCCAGCTTTGCATTGACAGCATCTCTGAAACCGCTTAGCTTACCGAATAATCCAGCTGCTTCGTCCTGAAAAGGTATCTCGGAATGAAACGAGTACCGAATAATGTAAATCATACACGGAAAGACGATATAAACACTAATATTTTTCGTCAGATGAGCGATGCGCGGGATATTACTGCAACCACGCGAGAAAGTAAAATCCGATGAACAGCCGGTGGGCGTCGCTCATCAGCCACTAATACTGCTGAGAAGGTGATCGTCACAGAAGTTGCGTATAAACATCAAACAGGTGTCGATTATTAACTGCAGATGTGCATTCCATGATCGAAGAGCTTGGCGTATGTGCGTTTAGGATCATTAAGCGGAAAAAATTGTTATGAAATCTTTTTGTCACAGGGACACGCACCTTAAGGCTATCCATAAACTGGTTATCGGTCAGTGAGAAGTTAGCAGCATTCATTTTGGCGAAATGCTTCAGCTGTGCTTTTTCTTCTGCATTCAAACTACCGTAAAATTTTCGTACTTCCTGCTGCACTGAATCTGAAACAAGGTTAACTATTAAATTTTGGGCAAAATAGGATGAAAAAGACTTATCAGTGCATTTGAACTGACCGGCATCAGCAGCTGACTCCGTTGGATGTGCATGAATTGTATCGGCAGCTAACCAGGTTAGCCAAATAACAGCAGAGACTGCCAACTTCCGGAACATGCTAATGCCCTGTAACTTGTAAAAGTGAGATAGGGTTTTGATTTTGAGCTTAAAACTCAATGAATTTAGTGGACTGAATACTCAGTCCTCTGCGATTCGTTCTTTCGTCTTGGTGGTAAACTGGTACAGGCCTAAGTTAGGCCTCACCAACAGCTTTCTTCTGAACAGCCCTCGAAAGGGGAAGTCACTGACAGCTTCGTCATCAGGTGGTTTCTGTTGGTGCTCGCTACCACTAAAGCTTCTTCTAAATGCCTCCACCTTGCATTAAGAACAAATACGAAGGATATTTTGTTTTTCGACTTTTGAGCTACCTAAATGAAAGTACAGATGTATCGCGAGTCGGCAATAACAGATGTAGAAAACTCATTATTCAGTGACACTAGCACAAAGTTAAATGGGCACTGTATGAAATGGAAGGATCCACAGCAGTGCTGAATGAGAGTTACACGCGGATGCAGATTGGAGAAGTTGCTAGCTGCATCAATGGCGAGAACGAATGTGTCGACACAATAGCATCTGCTCGAAATGTCCGAAGAAAAACGTGATAAATTATGATTAATTAGTCACATAAAAAAGGCAAAATTTCTTGAAGCGACTAATTGTGATTACTTAGTCCATTATTCCTCAGCGCAACAAAATTGGGTTTCTCTCTCAGTTCAGTTCTGTAACAGAAGTTGTCTAATAAGTGAAAAATAGGCATGGAAAATATGAAGCTTAAGAAATTTAACACATTGCAGATGATTCCATAGCTTCTTAGACTAAAACTCCCCATTATTTCGTTCAAATTTTGTTTCCCCCAGAGAGTCCAGTTTTTAATTTTTTTTATACGTCTGAATGGTTTTGGTGTTCCCCAGAGTAAAATGTGTTTTTTAATCCTTCTTGGAAGTCTACTTAAGTTAAAAAAGGAATAACAAAGCTTCTGTTTAGGTTGTGCTTGGGAACGCTTGATGAGTACGGAGGAAGCTAAGAGACCAGGCGCAAATGCTTCTTGAAACAGTTGGCATCGGCCTTCACACTCTCAGACACTTCCAGCAACTGGTTTCGTATAATTTATTGCTCAGGCAGCTTTGAATGCTTTTTTATTAACGACTAGCACAGGTTTTCACGGCGGCGAATCTCTAATAACGTCGCTGTTTGGCTTGGACGTTCGAAATCCTGCACTGACCAGGCAAACCATGCTTCTGAGACACGGAGCTATGCAGTTTCTGGGTTAAAATATAGCTATTTCTTCTGGCTCTACGGGCCATACTTTAGCACTGCATTTTTTATGGTCGATGAATCGAAGGAATCTTGTGCTGGCGCACAATGGAAATGAACAGTTCGTGCAAGTGGTTACTGGACGTTTAAAGGGGTGACAGGACGAAGGCGCGGTTTTAAAGTGCAACAATAGCGCGAGAGTTAGCAAGAAATAACAAGGAATACTTCGTGAAAAATACTTTGCATTTTATGTGTGAGAATTAACAAGAAATACTTTTTTGAGTGCCTCAATGAGCTCCTATTTCATAGCGTACTTCTACAAGTTATGCTGCTGACGCTGCTGTTGACCACTGGGCATGCTTTCGCAGGCGCATTATTCTGGTAGAGCACGATGACTCTCCCCTCTGCCCGACGCGTGCCGGTAGCTCACCCATATATCCCACCCATAACATGTTTACATTTAACTCGGTTTGTCCTGGTGTATCCTGGTAGACAGCATGATTCAAAAGTTCACCAAGACGGTTGGTTGGCAGCTGGCCAACTGGTACCAGAACAGTTCATGATGACGAATGATGTCGTCGTCTGTGTCTGGTGCCATG